AAGCAAATTTGTTCCAATGACGGAAATCTTGCACGGCCTCGCACAGAACCGGTGTCAATGTTAAAAGGGCGGTGCGGGGATGCATCGTCACGCCCTAGAAGATGCCGATTACGCAGGTGGTACAGGATTTCCTCCATCCACCGTAGCTCCACTCAAAGCTTACTCATCTATCTCACTCCCTTGTCGGGATGGACAAGACAGCACTATATGAGCTACAGTCTAAACTCCTTAAAGGGGGTTCTATAGGGATTAGATAGGGGAGTATTATAGGGGTTATGAAGAGGTATACTAGGAGTTTAGACTGTAGCTCATATAGGCACTTCAGCCAATCGCTCAAAACCTACTAGGTTGCGTTGTGAGGAAGCTACTGGGGCAGACGATTTTCAGACACAAAGCCTGCGCATGCAAAAAAATGGCCACCCCAAAAAAGAGACGCCTAACTTCTGGAAACTCCCACATGGTGTTCATGTTTTTCTGGGGGAGGGTGGGTTTAAGCTATCCACCATCGAAATTGACATGCCTCTATAAACATAGGGGTTTCCGGAAATCAGGGATTTCTGTTGGGTGTCTTCACAATAAGGACTGCAGTAGACTGAGGTCTATTTTAGAGCACCCGGTCCTGAGATTGCTAGATGTGAGATCCCAGTTGTGAACGCGGCTTCAGCAGATTTTGGGTATGTAACTACTCCACGTGCCCAAATGCTATAGTATGACTGATTTTCAGTACCTCAAACCACATATTTGGGACCTGGGCCCACAGGACTAGGAACTACATTCGGAAACGTTGCTGCAACCTCAGTCACGTCTCTGTTCTTGATTACCCGTATCCCAGCATGAGCTTTCCTTTATGGCCTAGAAAATCATTTCTTTGCTACTTATCCTTCGATACAAGCCATATTAACCGCTCGAATAGGAACATTCCCTATTAATCACTCAAACAACAGCTCCATTGTGTCTTGTGGCATACCTGCCTTAACTCAGGGCAGCGATTTAAGCTCCTAGCCGGCGGCAGCAACGGCAAGGAAAGAGACTTTGCTGCGTTCAGAAAAGTTCCCCTACCTCCTTTACTAATCTACATAAGCCTGGGGGACCTCACTGTAGCCCCCAAAATACCGTGATCCTTATTATGACCCGCAAAAAGGGACCTCTAAACTTTAGATGTCATTCTATTTCTTTGTCAAGAAGTGTTGCTCTTTCTTTGCCGCTTTGTAAGGATTATCGTATCGGGGGACACCCCTTTCTGAAAGCACCCCATTACAGCAAGGGACACTTAGTCCTCCCTCAGTCCATGTGTAATCCAGGGTATACTATTTGAAGAATTCATTTGACTAAATTTGCAACTAGCATTGCCTTATAGATCACTAGACCCCTTAACTTCGACGAATGGAACCTCCGAAACCCTAAACCCGAAACCGCATGGAGTTTGGGGGTTTAGGGTTGAGGGAGGCAAGGTATGGTTGTCCAGTATGCTCCTTCGGGGCTCACTAACCAAGCCCTAGGAGATTTCCCAGCTTTAAGAAACCTTAGGGAGTCCGTAATATAGGGGCCTAAATAATTACCAATACTAGAGTATATTATGGCATACTATGGTATTCTATGGCCTAAATGACTATCAAGATTATGGTTCCATATTCCTTATATAGTTATGGGTTTTGGTACCTCAAATGGACTTCAAAATGATATTGGTAATTATTTAGGCCCCTAAACCCTAAACCCCCCCAAAACCCTAACCGTAAACCCTTAACCCTAAACCCTATATGAGATTGGTAATTATTTACGCCCTTCTAGGAGGTAGGAACTCCCTTGTTATGGGCCGTATGAATCTGGTGCCCCTTAATATGGGTGGTTGTCAAAATCATGGTCCCTTTTTGGGTACCTAAATATTAGGTGCTGTATTGTAATAGGGATCTAAAGGGGACCATCATTTTGACAACCACCCATATGGGTACTGGGCTGCTCAAAGTTCTTTTTGTTGGAATGATTGTTGATGGACACCACCCCAGGACCATAACCTACTTAGTTAAACCACTTGGTGAACTCCAAATTCCTCCATCAACAGTTAATCCCAGTTCATGATGCAGGGAGTATCTTTAATGTTCCTTTCGTGCGGCAATTCACTGCTCTTGCAGGCCCATGAGTAAGAGGTCACAAGCGATCTCGAAAGGAAGCAGAGATCAACACACGGCCAGTAGTGAAATCTAGGGACAAATTTTTATCAATGATCTCTGAGCAATATGCTTACTGAGAATTCTGGAAGCTAGTCTTTATTCGTAGGCAGCACTCAAACACATGACGTTTACGGCTTGTGAATATCATGCCCGAAGCCCCATCCGACGCCGATCCCTCCCCAGGTCCTTAAGGGTACTCCCCAATTTGAGAAACCCTGATCTTGTCAGTAATTCGGGGAGCTTGCGGACACAATCCGGACCTGCAGCAGTATTTCACCTTCACGACGCCAGGAGAACTGCCCAATGTCGTCTTGCGTTAGTAGAGACGTGAATGACAGGTAGATGTTGATACAGCTGTTTATACGTATATGTATATATATATATATGTGTGTATGTATGATCAGGTGTAGACGTGTGCCTGTGCGTATGTGCGTGTGCCAGGACTCTGCACCGCTTATGTCGGCTTGGGCAAGCTCCGTGGGCACGCGGGAACGGTTGGGGCACTTGTCGAGGCTGAAATTGAGGCAGCGAGTGAGCAGATGCCCATGAAGGGCCACCTGCGTGTTCGGGTTGCAAATAGCACTTGCCACCTGGCGCACCTGTGGAGCTGGTCAAGCACCCAGTATGAGAAGATTGACTTCCGGTACGCGCCGGACTAGTGCATAACCGCAACATGTGCGCTGCCCAGGCAAAAAAAATTACCATCACACACCGATCAGGACCATTGAAGCAAGTATGCTATAGTTTTTGTTGAGTCTTGATGTAACTGCTCTGATTGTATGCGCAGAGGTGTCCATATGAGGGGAAAAGTGGGGGTCACGACTAGCTCACTCAAAACCTCTTGGGGGCTCTTCCACGCCGTGAGGGATTCCCTCTAGGGTCTAACACTCATAGAATTCGTATACTGGTAATAATGGCATCCTGTATATCATCCTCCTATAATGGAGAATCAAATTGAAACATGGACAATGAAATGGAAATTGGGGTAACATAGGGATATTGTATGCGGCACAAACATTGCCTAAATTGTGGAAAGCTAGAATGCTGCCCAGACCTTCCAATGTAGTTTCTTCCGCTGATCTTACGCCCAAATCCGCAAAGAACCACAGGAGTTGCATGATACACAACCCGACGTTCCATGTAATTCCTCATTTTCTTGTCCAGTTACCTCTTCTTTGTTGGGTAATATTCCTGAACCCTATATACCCCCTTCAAAGGGATCTAGGGTCTCCATTTGATTTTCCATCTTCTTTTGCATGAGATTCTCCTCTATTGCGGTTGTATCCCTCCACACCAAACCCTAAACTGGCCCTAAAATCCTAAACCCTAAACCCTCGACCCTAAACCCTAAACCCTAAACCCTAAACCCATATTATGGTCCTACTTCCTACGTGGCCTGGTTTCATTGCCATGGAGCACCCTCGAGGTCCTGTGGGCGACTCCACTTTTAAGAGCTACGGACATGTTGTATAACAGAAGATCAGTCGAGCCGGATTTAGGTTCAGGGTTTAGAGTTTTAAGGTTTGGAGTTTAGGGTTTTAGGGTCAAGTCTAAGCGATTTTCCTTGATAAGCCGTTCTCCCAACCCTGCCCTCGCCCCAAAGTCATGGTCATGAATATTGGTCATGGCTTAACTCTGTATCTTTTGGTCTACATAACCTCGTATTATATAACCCTATGTATCAGTCCGAAGCTGCCGCGAAGACCTTGTTTGTGTTGGTGCGAAGTATCGGAAATCAAAAATCCTAAACCTTGGGTACTGCCCCCACCGAGTAACAGTTGGATAAAACCGATAATATGGTTATATATAGCCCTTAATAGGACCCCTAATATAGACTGTTACTGGGTGGGGGCAATACCCAACCTAAACCCTAAACCCACCTATCCCTGAACCTTGGCTTGAACCTTTCATCCTTAGTGTTTAGGTTTTGGGGTTTAGGGTTTAGGTTTAGGGTTTAGGTTTTGGGGTTTAGGGTTTAGGTTTAGGGTTTAGGTTTAGGTTTTGGGGCTTAGGGTTCCTAATCCGCCAAACCCTAAACCTAACAGGCAACCTGGAATCTCTGAATCTTGAACCCCGGAGCCTAGATTCTATTCCCCTACAAGCCCCCACCCCCAATCCCATCCAATGCCTGAACCTTAAGGCCAAAACCGTATTACCAGCTCGTAAAGAAATCAGGGTAAGTTAGGACACCCCATTCGTTTTTATCCCTTTTACGTACCTAGTACCGTATGGCAACTTAGTTCAATGTCCTGCACAGCGGCTCAGCAAAACTTGAGTTCCGTCTCTACATGCGCTCACGGAGGCTGCGCTGGTGAAGGACTTGGCGGGCGCTGAGAGCAAGCCTGTCCGGTCCTTGGTTTCTTGATTACGGCGGCGTAAGCTTAGTGGTGGTTAGTAGGGAGTATGAGAATGTGATTAATACAATCCCTATGCAATATATTCCTTTATACTTTATAAGTACTAACTACCAGAAAGTAAGGCTTAGGGGCAAGGGTGTAGGGCCTGAGGGTTTGGGTTTGGGTTTGGGGTTGAGGTGGTGGTTCTCAATATTCGAATTTGTAGGAGTTTCCGGAAGCGAACTCTACACTGAGAACGGGGGAGACGCCTTGAAAGGGAATAACATCCAAGGTGCCTCAGTATGATTACCTGGGATTTCAAAGGGAAGCCCAAACAGGGAACCCCAAGAATATGGTAGAATATACTAGGGGGATACCCACGCAGGTCCACATATTCTTTTTTATTCCTACTATCATTTTGGGGTTCCTGGGCCTTGCACCCTAAACCCTAAACCATTTTGGGTTTAGGGTTTAGGGGTGAGGGTTCTTGGGGCTCCCATGAACGTCCTTTTATTCTAGGTTGGGACCAGGTGCGGTTACTGGGTTTGCTAGCGCTGAAGGTCTCGGTGCTGTGGAGGTTTTCCAAAATTGGGGCCGGTGTATAGGGTTTCGGGCTTAGGGTTTGGAGATATACGCTCTGGGGGGTCCCTATACTAAGGATCAGAATATTGTGGGGTTTGTACCGAGTCCCCCTTTTTGGGTAAACTACCATTCGTATTGCAACACCGCAAAGTCTGTAAGTCGCGCATGGCGACACCGAGATTTATGCTTGGCTCATGCTACCCCGTAAGCGCTAATGCCAGAGAATCTTTCCGGTGACGGCGTTCATATTGCCAAGGGACTTCAGCAAATCACGTGTTGATTGCTCTAGTTTGTCCAAGAAGCTAGAAGTTCAAACGCTGGTGTATGATCGCTGTCAATGTAGACATTCCATGGATCGACCCTAAACCCACCAATCCCTAAATCCCAAACCCTAATCCCTTAACCTTGAACCCTCTATAGTTTTGCTTGGCAAGGTTCGCGGCGTCTGACTTACGGGGGTCCTGATCAGAAGTTTTTTTAGATCCGGCCTAGGGCTCCACGCTCCAAACCCTAAACCTCAAAAGCCCCTCGCCATGTGAGCTAGAGTCTAAACTCCTTAAAGGGGGTTATATAGGGGATTATATAGTGCAGAGTTTAGGTAGGGTCTGGGGTCTAAACTCCTTAGCTTGGGGCGATATAGGAGGAGTGCATTGTATAGGAGACTATTATAGGGATTATTACCCTAAGGGTCCAAGTACCCAATAATCATATACTTACCCAAAATCTGTACTATAATTACTATTGCCCAATATCCCAAGAACCTAATTATTGGGTACATGGACCCTTAGGGTTAATGGGTCTTAAAACTAAACCCTAAACCCTAAACCCTAGGAGTTTAGACTGTAGCTCCGACCTTGGCGGCCGTCCTCGTGGCGAATAGCTTTCTGCGGCCGGAGGAGCTCGCATATTCGAAAATAGAATGGAAAGGAAAATGGAAATTACTGTAGTCAATAGTATATTGGGGTTATATTGGGATAAGGGTTGTATTGGGTTGTATTGGGATAATGGTAAAAGAAAATGGAATGAGGCACGCGTGGTCGCCCATGGCAAGCAATCGTCGCGGGTGGAGGGTTTCTGTCAGTGCGGCGGTGGCACGAGAGCAACCTACCAGGGCGAAGACCCGGTCTCAGGCTTGCCAGCTCAATTGCTCTTTCGAGGAGGAGGAGGCAAGACTGTGCCTGATCTCCGCGCGTATGCGTCATCTGTAGGAAGCACTGCGCTAGAGCTTTTTCACTCGCTGCCTGAGCTGTTCCGTGCTGTTCTCGAATCGGTGCTGGGCTCCGAAGACGCTGTCCTAAGCATGCTCCACGCAGACTGGGTACCGTCCTGGAAAGGTTGGCGTGAACTGCAACATATGGCTCCTGATACCGATGACGTCATATCACTGGCTTGGAGGCTGCTGCACGTGGCAGAACAAAACGGGCTGGTAAAGAGGAAGACCTTCGCTGGTGGAAGTCAGCTTGTGGGACTCCACATGAGGGGGGATCATAGGGTTTATATGAACTGTAGCCTAAACTCCTTAAATGGGGGCTATATAGGGGATCACATAGTGGTCTATATAGGAGACTATATGGGTTTAGGTTCAAAGCTCCTTAAGGGGGGCACAGCAATTTCGGGTTTACGGGCTAGGCTCGCATCCATAGGGCTGGCTACATGCATGAGACTCTGATCACCGGCTGAAGGGGGTTGTATGGTTTCCTGTTTGGTGACACCGGGGTTTAGGGCCTAATATCATGATTCTAGATTCCTTGCATGACTCTAGTATAGAGTGTTCAAATAGACCTCAACATGATATATGCAATATTTTGAAGTTCTTCAGGCCCCTATACAGATGAACCTAGGTTCCATTTCATTGTCCATCTTCTACCCCTTTAAAGTGCCCTAGGGTTTGCATTTCATGTCTCGTTTTCTTCTCCATGTAATTCTCCAACGTTGGGTTCGAGGTTGGGGGATGAGGAGTATAGGGCACTGTTGAGCTTTCAACATGTGACTGGATGATGGTCAACGGGAAAAAACCATGTTTCTGGCTGGTTATGATGCAGCAAGTCAGTTTGAGTGGAGGCTGATGAGGCCACAGCGCCAAAGTTGTCAGCGTCATCTGCTTTTGCGCTCGCTCTCTCTCTCTTCCTGCCTCCGTCCGTCCGCCGTTTTTTGGGGGGGCTTTGAGGTTGGCTTTGTTTCGCAGGCAGCTTTAACGCCAAGACGACATACTGCATACGGAGGAAATCTTGCAGTACCTTATATAGCCCCAATGACGAGTAATGGCGCTAATTTGGGATGCTAAATGGTGCAAGATTCCCGCCATCCACCGTAGGATATAAAAGGGATATGTGTATACAAGTAAGACAGTGTATTTACATCTCCTTCATTGTATCCCTTTTCATGTACGTATGTATACATATATACATGTGTTCATTATTATACGTTTATGTACATATCTATATACATATTTCTAGCCTCCTCCTTTTGCCGAGGACGCGAAGGCCTGAGCCTCCTCCATAGCCAAGGCACCACAGAGCAATCTGCCTTGGCTTAGAGGGTACTGCGGGTTAGTAGGGAACATGGGAATATATTATCTAGGGATTCTGTTGGGATTACATTCCTTTACTCGCTATTAACAACTTACCAGGAAGCAGAAGTTTGCAAGTTTCCAAAATTAGTGGCCAGTGGCCACTTTTGGGAGACAATAGAAAGAAGGATGACTGCACATGGGTATATAGAATGGGGGTCGAAGTTGTGGA